AGGTCCTTTCACAAAACAAGCATCCAACCCAATTAATGGTTTGACACCAGATAGAAACCCTCTCTTAATTGCACCAAGACATACATACATTCTCTGAAACCTAGGTTTAGCTTCTAATTAAGGCCTCCACACATTTATGTCAACATTAGTACCCTCATTGGTTCTTTTCAACTTTGTTGCATAATCTCATAGCCTACTATATTATTCAGCATTGGTTTCCTCAATCTTCTGAATTGTTATCTTTTTGGCTCTATAAGCTTTCATTGTTGACACACTTACAACAAAATCCTCTTTGATAGTTTCCTGAAACTCATTCACTTTCAATTTTGGGGTGGTCCTAAATTTGTCGACATACTTCTCTGCCAATCAAGAACTAGTAATTTGTCTATTCTTGTAAGTTCTAGAGCAAGAGTGTTTAAGTTGATATGTTTTTATCTACAAAGTGTTCTTTCCAGTCATCTTGGATGCATACAGTCTCCATTTACACCCAGCACTACAATTCACTTAAACCTTTCATTTTTCACTTTTAGTAAACTTCACATCATACCCCCCTCCATTTTATTGCATATTTCTTGACAGCATCTTTGAACTCATTTGCATTACTAAACAACATTCCTAGTTTGAATTTTATGTTTTGCATATCAACCTCATGCCTAAATTTAAGGTACTTAGCCTGTTGTTATTATCCTCATCATCAGAGCTTGTAGGGGTAACCATTTCTTCCTTAGATGAATCTCCATCATTCACTTCACACTCATGACCTTCTTTATGCCCTTCTTCATTAACATCTCTCTCAACATTACTATCAAACATAATGTCATCAAGATCAGGATCATCATCATCACTACTATCTGAGAAATCCCTGTCTGGTGGGTCATCATTGCCATTACTGTGATTGTTTGAGTTCTCTTGACATTAATCATTGTTGTAATTTCCATTATTTTCCACATCCTTCACAAGCACATCAGTAAGAAATAACACAGGATGAGCAATATCTACATTACGTAGCTTATGATGCTTAATAAACATCTCTGAGGTATTTGTATTTTCCAACAAAGAAAACATTTCTCTAATATCATCATCATTAACCAAAACTCTTAACCCTAAGACCAAATTTTTGTCGGGAATCCTATAGAAAATATGCTTGTAATAAAAAACACCCAACTCCTTCAACATGTAGCTAATCTCTGGGACAGATAGTTTATCAGCATCAACTGCATCAAATGCATCCACATTATCCCAACATAACTCCTTTCATTATTCTCAATAAAATACCCACTGTGATGTATCAGAACTTTAACCAAAGGTGCCATTACTGCATCCATACATAAACAAAACAATAACAATAAGTATGGGTCCACTTACAAACAAAGCATATTAAAAAAACAAAACCCTCATATAAAGCAACTTGGCCTACATTTCTCCATCTATGGAGACAAAATATAATAGAAAGGTAGACACACAAGACCCTAAAACAATAAGGGAGACCCCGGGACCACAATGTATTCAGTGATACAGAGGCATGCATACAGTAGGAGACAAAAACAATGTCACAAAGCAATAAACTATAAGTGTGCACCGACAATGTAGAGAAAAACAATGTCATAAACAAATAATAAAAAAAGAAGGTCAACAATGGAGAAAAAAAATTAGAAAACCTGTATATAACAACCAAAAACCAACCCATTACTTACCTCTACCTCAGAGTCCAAAGCTTTTTCGAAAATCAACTATGAAATTGTTGTCTTCTTTCGATGCGTGGTTGTAATCGTAGGTTGAATCACTGATCGCACTAGGTAGGTTACATGGAGCCCTAAATCGCAATGGAATGGTGTCTTTTTTCCTAAATTGTGAAAGATTAGGGCAATTTTGGCACCCAAATCAGTCTTCCATTAACTAATAGAGACGGAGATGGACGGGGGGATCGGATTGCAGCACGGGTGGAATGGTGGGGTACAAATTGTCAAAATTGGAAACCTGTGGTTTAAATTAAAAAAGGTGCTAAACCCTGGGGTTTTGTTTTGTGATTTCCCCTAAATAAAATAAAAGTCAATTTGTCACAAAAAAAAAAATACAATTATCATTATTTTCATATGATCTTTTTGGGACAAATTATTTTTAAAATTTGTAAAAAAAATTTTAGTGTTTATTTTGATAAAATAAGTTTTAGTTTTTGAAAATTAAAAGTAAAAAGTCAACGAAAGGACTTCATTTTGGTGGGGAGTTTTTAAAAATAATTTTTGAGCTTTAATTTGTAATTTTTTGGTAATTTTTTAAATATTTTAATCAATTTTTTACTTTTTAAATTCACATAATCTAGAGATACATTTTTTTTTTCTTTCTTTTTTATGGGAAACCACAAAACTTAATATATTACACATTTGATAATCAGTTGCCCAATAAAGTATATCAGAGTATACATTCAATATGTATATAAGTACAAAATAGATCCAAAAAGGGATAAAAAGAATCTTTACGCAGGGAGGATACAAGTCTTCACATAGATAGAAAAAATAAACTTCCATGCAGAGAGGAGAAAACCTCTTTGAAAAGAGGAAACATCTACATAGAGAGATATTATTACAATAATAATAATAATAAAAAGATTACAACCGAACAAACAATACCCATTATTTGCACAATACATTCATTGTCGCAACCGGTTATTTTGAATCTGAGGTAGTTGGCTAGCATATAATAGTGCATTTAATAGCGTCAGGTCTCAGTTATAAATTAGATTTGAGTCGAGATTTGCAAGCATCCTCGGTGGCAAGCGGATGATAGAGATGAGGAGTGGTAATGGCTAGCATAGTGATAGAAATCACAGGAGAAGAAATAGATAGGGAAATGATAATTAAAAGCACCACCATTTCCTCCTTGAAGAGGAAAGAAAAAGAGAGCGACTACAATTTCTTAGAGAGAGAGAGGGGGAAGAGAATCTAGATACACTTACAAGTATAAAAGTATATGACTAAAATTTATAGTAAATTTGCAAAAAATATAAGCAATCTCATAGTTTTGATATAATTAAATTGACATTCGTTTTAGGAGAAGTAAATAGATTGAAACTAATGCACATGGTATAAAAAACACTAGTACAAATAAAGAATAATATATATTTCAGCGTAAAAAATTTTTTTTTTCATTCATATGACTAACAAATTATTAATAAAAATGAAATAAAGTGTTATATGAATTAAAATATTAAAAAAAACTAAATATAATTATATCAAAACTATAAAATTTATTACATTTTCTTAAAATGTAAAGAGAGATCAGTGTGAATTATTTATTTATTTATTTTTTAAAACCTTATACAAAACAGGTAAATTACAAATAAACCCTATGAGATTTGCTTAAGATACGAGAAATTACATTCCTCCTCTTAAAGTTTTTAATTTTATAACAAATGATCAATTTTATTAATAAATTATCAAGTTAATTAACAAATTTTAATGATACTAGAAATATTTTTAATTATTAATTTATGTAATGTTATCATTGTATAAGAGAAAGTTAAGATTTTTTTTAAAATTAATCCTATTAAATAAAAATTTCAAGAAGAAAATATTTATAATTTTTTAAATCACATGAGATAATTTATATTTTAAAGAAATCTCAAAATATTTATTTGTAATTTAACCATACAAAAAGATTAGAAGACTCTGGCATGGGTTATCAAGTTAAAATAATTATAAAAAGATAAAATAAGTTAAAAAATTGAAGACAACATATTATATTCAAATTATAATTATTTTATTTTTTCTCACAAAAATCAAAAAAATTTAACAAACTCAATTCAAACGAGACTTTTAATTCAAGTTAAAATAAGTAAAAAATTAAAAAGGCAATTTAGGAATTAGGGGTTGTTTGGGGTGTCCTAAATAAGTGTACTTTTTGTCTTTTTGGACTAAAAAATTGAGGAAGAAAATATAGATGTTTGGGTTAACTTTTTGACTTTTTATGAAAAAATGTGTAATAAAAAATTGAAAAAATTGGTTTGTAAAAGAAAATTAGGATTGGGAGTTGTGTAGCCGTAATTGTTGACTTTTGATGAATAGTATTAACTTTTTAATTTTTTGAGTAACTTTTTAACTTTTTGACTTTTCTTGGACATGCCAAACTTGACCTTACTTGGAATGTTCTAAATAAGTACACTTTAACTTTTTATAAAATTTGAATTGAATATAAGTTAAATTTAAAATGATATAATAAAAAAATAATATAACTTAAATAAGATAATATAATTTAAATAAAATAATTAGTTTTTGACTTTTTTTAAATTTCGCGAACAAAGCCTTACTTTTCAAACGAAGCAAGGGGATTTTTTGTGCCAGAATTCACAAAAATCAAAAAAATTTAACAAACTCAATCCAAACGAGACTTTTAATTCAAGTTAAAATAAGTAAAAAATTAAAAAGGCAATTTAAGAATTGTTTGAAATGTTCTAAATAAGTACACTTTAACTTTTTATAAAATTTGAATTGAGTATAAGTTGAATTTAAAATGATATAATAAAAAAATAATATAACTTAAATAAGATAATATAATTTAAATAAAATAATTAGTTTTTGACTTTTTTTAAATTTCGCGAACAAAGCCTTACTTTTCAAACGAAGCAAGGGGATTTTTTGTGCCAGAAAAAACAAAATTGTTGTTTGTCACGCGCCATTGAGAGAGGGTGGCAATCCAATGGTTTAGAGAGAAGAGAGAGTAGCCCTAAAAAAGAAAGAGAGAGAGAGAGAGAGAGGAGGGACCATGTGATGTGGTGTGTCCGCATTTGACAAAAGCCGACGATCCTGTGAATCAATGCATCCCTATGCGTTTTCAATTTTTCATTGGTCGTTCACGTACCATAACGTACGATCGATGTTGACAGCTTGCTAACCTTGTACGGACACCGCAAAATTTTTATCTTTTTACCCAAAAAAAACCCTCATAAAAATAAAAAAACACGACCTATATATGTATACAGTCTCTCTCTCTTTTTCTCTCTCTCTCTCTTTTTCACTACTGGCCACAACAGCCCACTTGCCACAAATTCTCTCTCCTTTTTTTCCAATTCAATCTAATTTTTCTCTTTTTGGGTTTCTTTGAGAGTTTACCAAAACAAGCAAAAGATTGAGGTTTTGCTCACAAATATACTAATATTATATATTATTTTCTTTGCCCTTTTTCCTGGTGGGGTTTTGAAGAAGTTGAGAAAAGAAAAGGAAAGAAAAAAAAGAGAGAGAAAGTGAGTACACGAATAAGGAAAGTTATAGCGTGTGTCATGTGCTTGTGAAAGTCTTTCTATGCCTTTCTTTCCTCATCTCTTCCTTCCATTGATGATGTAGAGATAACCCAGAAAAAAGAAATTACAGAGAAAGAGAGAATCAATCAATCAATACCTATTTCATCTACTATACCTCTCTGGTCTTCTGGGTTTTGCTCTATATTTAGCTTCTTCTGTTAATTTTGATCCATAAATTCAAAATCTTTTTTTCTGGGTCTTCAACTATTTTGTAAGATTTCTCTCTTGAATCTTTAAACTTTTTGGTGGATTGTTGTTCTGTTGTTATGGGTATTGAAAATTTGAGCGTTTGTTTTGTGGGTTTGAAGGTTTGTGGGTTGTGGAGATGGTGAGAGGGAAGACTCAGATGAGGCGTATAGAGAACGCTACAAGCAGGCAAGTCACCTTCTCCAAAAGGAGAAATGGGCTTCTGAAGAAGGCCTTTGAGCTGTCGGTTCTTTGCGACGCCGAGGTCGCGCTCATCGTCTTTTCTCCGAGAGGAAAGCTCTATGAATTTGCCAGTTCTAGGTACGATTTGTGTATTTATTATCTATATTTATTGAATTGTTGATGGTGCATGATGTATTTTTGTCCGTGTATTGATTTTTGGTTATTACACTGAAATTGTGTCAGTAATAATTGGTTTTGACAATAGATATCATGCATTTGAATGTGTGGACATGATTTCAAATGTGGGACGCTCCTGGTGTCGTTACACCGCGATGAATATCTTACGGGTCTCGATGTAGCTATCAAAATTATAGTTATGGGAATTTATCTTGATACGATTATTTGAAACTAGATATGGCATTTAAACCCTAGGATTGGATCTTGGTCTAAGATAGCAGTACGTGTCTCAATAAGGCTGTTTAAAACCATAGCTATGTGTATTTACATCGTAGGGTTTTATGATCGTACGTGGTCAAACTCTTTCTCTCCCCCCAAGGTTGGATCAGATCTTCTGTTGTTTATGAGAACTATTGACCATAGAAATGGCAATCTTACAACTACTGTTGTCTTTGTAAGAAGACCTCATTGATATGTTTTGTTGCTTCTAGGCTCTTTCCCTTCTTCCTATGGGTATGGGTGTGTTTTGTATTTTTTCATAGAGACAACTACAGAAAATAGAAGAGGAGACTGTACCTAAGTGAATTTTCTTGCCTTTGGTTCCTTCACTTCCTGTCTCAGAAAATTAGTGCTTGCCTTACACAATCTGCTTTGATAGTATTTTAACAAATGGGTCCTGTGTCCTTCATGGGTTATGGCATTTCTTGATCTTTAGATGCAAAAGGACACTAACTTCGAGTTATATTGTGTGTTTCTAGTGACTTGTTTCCATTATACTGCATGATTGTAGTTCCACTTTCTGACAGTAGAGTTATTTATTTTGATTATATATAGTATATACATTGAATTAGGGTTATGCCAGGGTGCTTGTTCTTTGACACGAAATTTTTTGTCTCAAATTATTTTGTTCTACATTTCATTCTATCTTTATGTACTAAAACACTCATAGCGGTTAGCCTATGTCTTGAGATTTTCACATCTAGAAATTCTTGCAGGATTCAACTATTGTTAGTGTTTTGAGATATCGGAACAAAATGATTTGTGGATAGGTTTCTTTGGCCTTGTTCTATACTTAAAATTTGATACATAGGTTTGTGAATGATAAAGTAGGCAAAAAAAAGAAAGAAGAAAAAGTACTTCAATCAAATTATATGTGGTGCAAAGTACGAATTAGTGGAACACTGACATGGGTGGGTTGGCGATTGTTAACTAAGACATTAGTGACAATTAATTGTGCTAGTGATCCATTCAATGTTATGCTTTGCAAAGTCCCTTAAGTACTATTACACAAACCATTTCCAAATTCCGGACACAATCTTTTGGTAGAATTTTTGTGTGGAGTTGGATATAAAAAAACCCTTGTAGTCCCAATTCACAGTGCTTGTGATATTTCTAAGACTCAAGGTATACAACCCATGTCCTTTCACTTGACATGTCATTCCAAACAGTTACCAAGTTGAACTTTGTAATGTTACAAATTCTTTTGACTTCCATGCTTGAATGGCCTATGAGTGTGAGTGAGAGAGCAAAAAATTCTATGGTGCGCATGTCATCGTGGTGCACTTTCAAAAGTTACGATTCAATGTGATCGAATTATGACATAATATTATTAACCACCACATTGTGTCTTGACTCCCTCAACTCAATATGGTTGGGTTACAATACAATATAATTAATAAACTTATTATATTGTAACGGACAACATTGAATTGTAATTCAATTATATTGAGTCGTAATTTTTGAGGGTGTGCACCGTGTGGAGTGCACACAGCAAACTGACCTGTGGGAGATGTTATTTAATTGGTCCATGCCTTTTAATGTGACTCGATTAATTATTTTGTATTTGCTTTAACCCAACTAAAAAATAATGAAAGATTTAATTCAAGTTATTGAGCTTAGTTCTTAATTCTTCTCTCCCTTTTGGGGCCATGTTTGTATTCCACCATATGCTTCACTTGTCCACTTAAGAACCTTTGGCCCAAATTCTCCGTCTCCTTGGCTTTCCTGCAGTGCATTCAGCTTAAATCAACCCACTCTCTTCTTTATTGGCGTTGTTTTACAGTAGATAATTATACAACTTTGACAATTTGATGCACATTTCAAAACCATCTTAGTTCGAGGAGAGATTTAAAATTTGATACATAGGTTTGTGAATGATAAAGTAGACAATAGAAAGCTGATAAAAAAAAGTAGATAAAAAAAAATGTACTTCAATTGGACTAATGTGGAGCAAAGTATGAATAAAGTGGAACACTGGCATGGGGTTAGTTGGCAATGTTAACTGAGCCATTTGTTACAATTTAATTGAACTAATAATCCATTCAATGCTATAATGCTTAAACAAATACCATCTCCAAAGTCCCTACAGAACTTTTTGGTGGAATTTTTGTATGGAATTGGATCTAAAAAAACCTTGCAGTCCCAAATCACACAGCACTTGTGACATTTCTAATAATTGAGGCATAAAACTCGTGTACTTTCTCTCGAAATGTCATTCCAAATAGTTTCGAAGCTGAACTTTGCCATGTCACTTTTATGCTTGAATGACTCGTGTGAGTGAGAGATGGCAAATTATGTGGTGCGCATCTGATTGTGGCGTACTCTCAAAAGTTATAATTCAATGTGGTTGAGTAATTGATATAATATGGTTGTTTATCATATTGTTCCTTAATTCTCTTCACTCAATGTGGCCAAGTTGCGATATAGTAACTTATTATATTGTAACCGATCACATTAACTTGTAAGTTGTAATTTCGATCACATTGAGTCGTAATTTTTTGTGATTACGCACCATGCATAGTGCGCACAACAAATTGACTCGTGATAGAGTAGATAGTTTTATTCAAATAAGTAGGATTTATTTGTATGAGTTCAAAACAGTAGTTGAGATAACCATCTCAATGATGGTAAGCCAATTGAATTATGAATACGGGAGTCATGACCAAGATTTCATCTACGTAATTGGCTTTCATGCAAATCATAAACAATTATAATAATGTAGGATAAGGAAATGCAAAGATATGCATCGAAGGAATATGTGTGTGAAAGAAGAAAAGCTTTGAAGAAAGAATTAGTTGATAGGAAATGAATTAGTGAAATTGCCAATACAATAAAATGTATACTTTGCTGTGTCAAAACAAGAACCTGATGCTTATTCTCAATTGAAACCATGTTTTTAGATGAATTTTGATGAAAACTTATCCTATCTAGGTAATTATTTTCATTAATAGAATATCTAATTAAACTTTTGAATTGCATATGGACAAATCTACTAGGACCATAGGAATAAAAAATATACATTCTGAAGTTAATAACATGTTCCCAACATGATGTGGATGATCAATTTTAAAATGATGTATACTAATATGAAGCACGGGTATGGGTATGAGTACGGGTATGGGTATAATACAAGTAAGTTGATATTGTAAAATCTAGAAAAAAATAGGGTAAGGGTACGTGTACGGCTTGGTATGTTTGTAAAAAAATATTTATTTTTAATTTGGAGTAATGCAAAAATTGATTAAATAGTTTAATTTGTTGAGATCTAACCTACAATTAACATTTAATGCCAAAAGTAAAGGTATAAACCAAAATTAAATATCATTATATTAAATAACTTACAAACCATAGCTTAGTTTTAAAATCATGCTAAGCATAAAATTAGAAATAAAAATGAAGTCTATTGAAAGGAAATTCTTCTTGGTAATAGAAGAAAATATTATTTCGACTAAGGTACGGTATGGCATAGGTTTATACTAGGTACGTCTGGATACGTCAAAAATTAAGAAGAAAAAATTCGAGTGTATTTTGTGTACCCGGTACATATGCAGAAGTACTATATGAACTACCATACTTCGGTAAGTACCCAATACGGGTACGGCATGTTTGTCGAAATACTCATACTTTACAGATATTAATAGTTTTAGGACATAGATTTTTGTTAGTTTTATGTCATAACTGTTGGTGGGAGTGGGGTGCAAACCACTGTTGGTGATTTACAATGAGAGGTTTAAAACTGGACCAAACTGTAATTTAAATTCACTCAATAATTATGAGAAAAACATACAATCAGAGCATTCTTCCTTTCTTTCTCCCCCACACATATTACTCTGATACATTAGCTATTTATAGATAAACTAGTAGTGTGAAGACATTTAATGCAAATACAGCTATCAGTGTGAAAGCATTTAATGCATATACGGCTATCAGTGTAAATGCATTGAATGCAACTACGGCCATCTTGATTTCACCCTCTATTTTTTACAAACAATTTTTATATCAAGATTACTTCACAACATCTGCCCTTAATCTTGATTCTCAATGTGGCTTCATCTCGAGCATTATCTTCATTCTGTTGAACAGATCATTTTTCAATGGCTTCGTGAAAATGTCTGCAAGCTGATCTTGAGATTTGCTAGGAAATAATTCCACCTCTTTATTTTTCACATGCTCTTGGATGAAATGATAGCGAGTGTCAATGTGCTTACTTCTTTCATGATAAACTGGGTTCTTTGCCAATGCAATTGCTGAGCGATTATCAACATAGATCTCAGTGGGTTTTTTTTGTGGAAATCCCAAATGCTTCAGCATGTTCCGTAACCATATTGCATGGCACACAACTGAGTTGGCTACAACATACTCAGCTTCGCAAGTCGATAATGTCACAATGGCTTGCTTCTTGGACTACCATGTGAAGGCTGTATCTCTCATGAAGAAAGTAAATCCCGTAGTACTTTTTCGTTCATCCAAGTCACGTCCCCAGTCGCTATCTGAGTAGCCAACTAGACTGAAATTATCAGTTGGTTTATAGAATAAACCATCATCGACTGTACCTTTGATGTAGCGAAGAATCCTCTTTGTTGCACAAAGGTGTGACTGATCCGGTGTTCCATATATCTGCTAATCAGTCCTACTCCATAGAGTATGTTTGGTCTGGTGCAAGTAAGATAGCGAAGACTTCC